CAGCTCGCCCGCCTGCCACACCAGCTCCTCCAGCGCCTGCACACTCCACACTCTCACTCGCATTCTCCCCACATCGGCGACACCCGACACCCTCGCCGATACACTCACACTTACCAATCTCAAGTCGATCCACTGCGGGTGGTCATAATGCAGTGTACCGTCGAGGTCAGACGTCAATTGTGTGCTATCTATTATTTTAGGCAGAGCTTCCAAGCTGATCATGGTCGTCTGAAATAAAGGATTTATCAATTTTTCTTTGTTAGTCGTAATATAAAATACAATGTACTAAAATTCGTATCTCACCTCAAACTTGTATTTGTGTGAACCGATGGTTGTGCGTTGCTTTTGCCAAAAATTATCAGGTTTAACTACCAGGGCCTGATGGACGGATGAAGAAAAATGTTCTTGCAGAACTTTCAAAATAGGTTTAATAGCAGCCCACGCCGAACCTCTCATATCAATCAAGATGGTAAAGCCATGCGTCTTCACCGAATCGCTAAAACAAACAAATAGTTATGGTGAATTTTAATGACTGCAGAATTATAAACATTAACAATCAACAAAGGAAAATATTACTTTAAAAAAAATATTAATTGCCCTGGTCCTTGAATTCATTGGCATCTTAATTGAGACTGTCCACATTTCAAACTTTAAGCTAATCCACAATTTCTAAATACTCTTATCATAACTCCTTAAATACATGTTAACCTATTTAAGGAGCCAATGAAAAACATACATATAAAACTAATATTATTTAATAAAAACAGTAAAGTCATATTTACAACCTTTATTAACAAATTCAGTAGCAGCAAAATGTTTTTCATTATCGAATAACTTTAACTTTCATGTGTGCATATACAAACTCCTTTGTTACAATTTGTGATTCATACATGTCACTTGATTCCTTATTGGACACACGGCATAACATTCACTCATAACTATCATTGGCAGTTTAGTTACCAGCACTTTTAATAAAATCTTTTGAAAGATCTCATGAATTGATAGATTGGAAGATGTTCATCATGTCTGCGGTTGTATCAATGTAATACCTGGGTATGGTCATAAGGTAGTGCAGTAAACGCCTATAGTCATCAGGAGCCACCCTGTCTCGCCTGGAGTTTGCGGGGAACCATATGATGGGTCCCCCTCTGCGGTCCAGGCCGCCGGTGAGCGCTGCCACCCGCTCCTGCAGCAGGGGCAGCACGTCCAGGGCGCGCGCTCCTGCCTCCATTGCGCGCCCCCCACGCGCCGAAACGCGGACCCGCTTAAACAAGCCTGCAAATACACTTCACATTTATTACTATGCAAAATGCATTCTTTTTAAATGTTTTTACTCAAACTTATTATGTCTGTATAGGCAAAAGCATAAATAACAGTGAATTCTAGAATTTACCAGCACAACCTAAGGTTAGTATAAGGTTACTATTACTTATGGTCAAAAGCCAAAAAGTTGTCTTTATTTCGAGCGTTGACTACCTTTCACATGATAAATAATAAGTTTTTCTTTAAAAGGATATCAACTGGTGATAAATAGTTGAATAAATTTTAGTAGAAGAAACAACAAAAGGACAATTTGTTGTTTTAAATAAGTAATTAAATAAAAAGATATAGTAACAGAAGGAAATTAACCCACAAAAACTGTTTATTGGTTATAATGAAGCCAGTATCATTAAGAAAATTGTAAGGTTATCACCTCATATAAGTACAGGTTCTAAGCCCGTCACCGAGGACAAAGAGTAAGCTGATATAGAAAATACCAAAACATTACACTATACAAATAAAACTTTTCTGGTATCATGAATGGGGTTCTTACATACAATTGCATTTTCAAATTTTTTTCTGAATCTATGCGTTTCTAGGTTGTGCTATAACTTAACATCTGGTACACTACTACAAACAAACATTAATGCACTATTTTGAAAGCATTTTATTGATTCTACTTTAATACTGTTTCTTCCAAACTTCATTTGCATATAATAAATAGGCAGTTTCTTTGTCTATTACATGGTGAAGCTAAAAAATGATATTATTTACACTGACTGACACCTTCTTCACATAAAAAACATATCAAGTTATTATAATTACTATAAATTGTTTTATAATAGGTGTAGGATCCAAACTTGTAATTCTCCATTTCAAAAACTTTATTGTACAGGTTGTAATTTGTTTTGTACTAGTTTTTGTTAATTAATATGTGTAATTAATATGTGTAAAGTTTGAAAATGGATTATTGCGAATAAAAGAAATATGTGGTATGCCTGCTATTGGCATATGGTAATCAATGATGTATTTAATATATTTTTTATAACTGGCCAGCAAGAGTTGCGTTTACTTTTGTTTTCTATTTAATAAGCCTACTTTTACTACTAAGTCTTGATGGAAACAAAGACATGAAACTTTATTTACTTCAAAAAACAAAACTAAACATATAAGTGCATAATGAATTCGTTTTTATGCAATAAAACCCTTAATGTTTTACGAAAAAGACCAACGCCAAGAGAGGCTTTGGGTGTATACAAGATTGAAGCAAGCGAAAAAATTATGATTTCACAGTAAAACAAGCCGGTCATCTATATGATTATCATGTACATCATACTAAAGATTTTTTAACAATCGTGGATGATAAATTATTCTAGATATATAACTACATGTCACAACAAATAACCTCAGACAGACATCAACTTAAACTAACCGTGGTGACTCAGGGATGGTAATTAGTCATACATAAGGGTTCGGCACGCATTATTGTCACTTTTATTATCTTCACTAATACATTTGTAGAAAAATATACTCATTTAAGCTCTAAATCTTAATAAAAACACAGAATCTATGCATAATGACACTAAGTAACACGAACAACCACAACTACAATGGCGCGTCAGGGATGCTTCAAACTTCAAACTTGAAAAAAAACCGATGATGGTAACGGACCACCAGGATCACATTCATTAATTTTTCGCAACCATGTTATGGTTATGAAATTATTTGGACGAAATAAACAAGTTCGTCGCCGCTATTTTATTGCATCTTTTAATCTGAAAATAATTTTAGATGTCTTGTTCTAAATCTCGTCAGTAAAAAGCGTTTTACTAGTTTAAAATAATCATTAGAATTTCCGTAGAAAATCTTATTTTATACAAAAAAAAACAAAGAACGTGCAAAGGATAAGAATAAAAACCATAGTAAACAGTTAGATTTATTTTTTCAACAATTATAATGTGTGTGAAAATATATTAATTTGCTGTAAAAGATTTTTCGCAAAAGTCTTTTTTGCAAAAGATATGTGATTGTGGTTTATTTCAAACACGTACTACCATTCACTTGTTCAAATATAAAATTCTTTAAATGTCCACTTTGTAAATTTCCATGAATAGCCAAATAACAAACATTTTTAAGAACATAAGTTAAAAAAAATTAATTTAAATAAAATGTTTTTTTTTTAACAATACATATTAAGTGATCATAGAAACAACATTAATGGGATTATCTACATTTATCTAGTAATTAAAGTACCTAAATCCTGAGATTTGATAATGAAATGCAAGTGACTTTCACTTGTGAATCAGAGAATAACCGAAATGCGTACTTCAACAGTAACGTCTACTTATTTTGTTAAAAATATTTCTAATTTTGGAAAAACATGAAAATAACTACTAATTTTCATATGGCAATGTCTAACTGTCAGTTTGATTATTAAAATAAAACAATCTGTCAATTAACTGTCAATTTTACTTTAAAAATCATCAATAGCAATAGCAAATTTTTATACCTAGAATTCAGTATAGATCTTTATTAGATAATAATGTTAAAAAGAAGTGCAGTGTAAAACAACGTATACAATATCATCAATAGAATATAAGCTCTCTTACATGTTTATCAAAAGATTCGAAATTACTTCGATACAAAGAGGTTCAGAATCACTGAGATAAGTTATTTGTTTATTTTGTAAGTTATTCCTAGGAGTACTAGGAATTCATACTAGTATGATATTTTCTATAACATGCCATGGTAGTTCTATCATAATACAAAATAAAAATAAAAATCGTCATTGTTTGACAAGATTTATAAAGGCAGGAAGAACTTCAAGCACTAACCACTATAAGATATTTTTAAAATCATCATGTTTTACATATTTCACTGAGTAAAATCGTTGATTACACGATTTAGCACTTTTGATACTTGATAATTGCTCAACTAAAGCAATAATAATTTCAGGGGTTAAGAGTATAACCTTATCTTACAAAATAAAATTGAATAAAACAGTTAGTGAAGGAGTAAACTTTATTGATAAAAATTACAATCACAGAAATATTTAAAACACAATTTGTATACAATGCATATTAAATGCTGGATGGCATTTTATCAATGACAAAAACACAAAAACAAATTTAGTTATATGGAGTAATGTGAAATATTATATTGTCTGTGAAATAAAGAATATAACATTATGCTTTTTATGGATTTTTGGTAATGGAACATTTATTTTGGTTTTATGTAAGCAATATTATATGAAAATTATTTCTTCTACTGAATTAAATAATCTACTTTATTAAATGCTCTCTCTAATTCTCTACTGAATTGAATAATTTGAGTAAAACTCTACACATAACACCACACAGATAACATTTGTAAGTAGACACTCCGTAAATGTGTAATTTATAATTTTATTGATATATAAATGGTTCTAATGATTTTTATTTAACTGTGAAAATCTGATTGGTAGGATGGCAACGGGCTCTGAGCTGTCAGGCTTGTCAATGTAAATACTCCATGTTCTGGCTGACATATCAAATATACCTGCAACAGAAACTTAGGTCAATGTGATGTCACTAAAACGATTCCAAGGATCATTTAGTATGCAGGTGAATAGATTTGGGCTGAAATGGAATTTAGTCATATTATCTATTAAAATAAATGCATTTAGAAATAAAACAGTACTTTTATTTAATTTTGTATTGAATTAATGTTGATTGCAGTTGATTTTGTAGAAGTAGCGCGTGGTTTGCATTCATTGTTTGAATAAAAAAAAACTGTTTTACCAGACTATCCTTTACATCAACACCAAACATCGAAATCCATTCATCCTTTTAGGCTACAAACTCTAACAAACATCCATCCATCCATCTAAACTTTTGTATTTATAATATTCGTATGAAGTATGATAACATTAGTAAGCTTATAAAGTACTCAGTGATATAGATCTGTCAAAATCAAAATGTATGCGATCTGATAGTTCTCAGAACTCTCGCTATTTTAAAGAGGGCGCTGAAAGCGCTGAGTGTACCCAGTCTTAGGATTGTAAAACATGGGAAAGACCCGTTACGTTAACTAGATGGCGTTGTCGTCAACTCTTTTTGACCGACTTCCCAAAAGAAGGAGGTACTCAATTCGTCTATGTTTTTTTATGTGTGTTACGGCATAACTCCGCCGCTAGTGAACAGATTTTGATAATTCTTTTTTTATCCTAGGTAATGCTTGCAGGTGGGTCCCATTTTTTTAAATTTGATCTAAGGGAGGAAGGCTTATAATAACTATCATGTGTACCCTTCCCAAATAAGGTAATTCCTTGTCATGCTGTATGATATAGTTAAAGTAGGTAATATAATATGATTTACCGGCGGCGATAGTCTGTATTGGGGCGTCGAGTCTGGTCTGGAAGACAGGATAGTCTTTATAGGTGGTGTCGGAGAGAACACTCTCGATGTCGCGGCGGGAGCGCGGCGGTGCGTGGCTGTGGATCGCCTTCATCCTGGTGACGCTGCTATCTATTATGTCACCCGTCACTTCCTGCACTTTCTCACGTAGGTATCTGCAAAGTTGGTGACGAGTTAACTCCGAAACATTCTATCAACTATTTTTAATATAATATTTTATCACCTGCTCATTTCTCAATTGAAGTTTAGGTACTAATTATTTAATACATCTCTATCAGCCTTCTTGTCTATCATTATCATCTTCGTATAATACTTACGCGTTGCAATGCATCAGTGTTTCATTTGTATACTTATGGATGTTTAGAATAGATTTGTTGGCGCCAAGATCGGGCGCCACCTCGATGTTCATCAGATCTCGCTCTCCATTCTCAAATGTCCATATGACATTGGTGGAGAAACCATTGCCGATGCCCAGACCCTCGTCCAGGAGGATTTTTTCAGCATCAGCCGGAGTCCTCGCCGTCAATAAAGCTCGTGTAATGAACATGCGCGCTGGAATAGATTTTCAATTCTATAAATTACTGATAGTTCGTATATTTGTTTTATCCAATTTATAAAGAAACAGTTGACGACTTAATGACTTACGTGTATTGCCAGGTTTTAGAACGAGGGGACTGAGTGTGTTGATAGTAAAGACGAGGCCATGTTCGTTAAAGCCCATCGTGTAGCCTGGGAGCTGGCCGGCGTAGCAAAGCGATGCAAATCTCTCTTCGACAGCCTGCATGAAGAAAAAAGTTGTTAAAACAGTCGTTCTAACGTCCTCAGTTCTTTTCTGGATTAGTCCATTACTTCTTTTATGTAGTTTACTTACACCGAGTTCTCTATCTTCCGGTGTGGGTATGACATGCGCTGACATGATGTAGAAATGATTTACTGTTTCCATCGGCGCGTCTTCCGTGTGACCGAGCACCACCTGTTATAGATGTACACAATACAAAGTGAAGTCATTAGTCAGAAAATAGTAAACATGGATTTTTTTTAAGCATGATAATTTTGATGTTTACCCAAATCGCTTACGTTTTCTAATTGGGTTTCTAACACTAAGGAATAATGTATAATTACGTTTTCCGGTGATTTAAAGGCGATGTCACTGCAGCCGCCGCTGTCAACACGGTTTGAGTTTTTATCGTTGATTGTACCGATAATATCATCCATGTGCAGTAAGAACAACTGAAAAACAATAGTTTTAATAAATTTTTATTGCAATATTCATGTACGAGTATTTGTCTACGTTCTCATAAGTGTAACGCGTCTATTGTATTTTTATTAAACCATTGAGTCTTTGACTACATATATTTGTTATCTGTTTGTTCGCGTCCCAGTTTACTGTGTTTACCAGCTGATAGCTTAAGTAACCTTGATGCAATTATATCTTAATCATGCCGCTTCAAATATCTACATGTGTTGAAGACTGACCTGGTAGAAAGGAACCTTTGCACCATCAGCCACCCCTTGTATCTCCTTCACGTAGTAGGGATACCTTTGTTTCATGTTGACCAGTGTGCTGTCGTAAGCGGCGCGCCCCGCGGCTGTGTTGTATTCCCTTTCAAAGTCCTTCAACCCTTGATATGTTTTAAGAAAACTTTGTATAACGGAGGCAAAATTACGGCCCTGAAAATAAAAGTAACATTGTAATTAGCCTTTTGTTATTTAAAAAATCACCCTGATTTACTTCTAATGATAGCCATTTGTAGGTATTAATAAATTATTCATATAAATCGTAACAAATCCATAGTAAGCAGTTACCTATCAAGGTCGTTACACTCTTATAAATATTATATTTTTAATATACCTAAATATAAATATAGACTTTATGATCTTTTGAGTGTATAATTAGAAGTGTACAAAAGTGGCAATGTGTCCAGGGCAGCCGGTACCACAAGCTGAGGAGTCATCACTCAGTGCTGCTTATGCCTTGTGAAAGTTACCAGCTTGATTCCCATTTAGTTTAATCAATGGTTGATAATATATTTCCTAGGTATGCAAATATATTCAAAAATGCTCGAGTGGCTTAACCGAATAAATAATAAAGTTTTATTTGATTTGCATACTTTCCTGATGATACGTTTTTTTTCTAACAAATTACTAGTAATAAATAATAAATCAATAAAACACGCGTAATGTGTTGATAGTACTTGGCTACAACTATTAACAGTTAACCATCAAATAAGAATGTCATGTTTCGTTGTTTGATATCATATTATAACAGGAATAATTTATGCAGACAACTAGATTAGTTATCTAGATTCGTGCAGTGAATAACTTATTGTAGGTTGTAATGTTATGTAATTTTAAAATATAATTATTATTTATATTTTATTAGGTGTAGTTGATTAGCTATAAGGCGTCATATTCACGGATTTAGATGGCGGAAATGTGTATTACTACTATTTGTCAATAAAACAATTTTCAACTTTTCAACGTAAAAATTGTCCGTAATAAAAATACTATAAAGGTTTTTTATAAGCCAGTTTTGTTGCGATATCTACTACATTTATAAGAAATCATTACAATGGAAGACATTATACTAAATATGAATAAAATGTAAATTTAAATGGGAGGACCTTTTTACATATATGTACATACATAATAATTATATTTTAAACTTTACTTTTAACTGAACTAATTCTTGAAAAAGTTTAAAACCAAGACAGTTTTTGCTTAGAATTTTTAGTTTGAAGGTGAGAATAGACAAACGATGTTACTAGACACATTCCTCACTTTATGTGTTCAAGTATTAAGCAATAGTTTCAAAGTTAGGACGATGAGAACGTCTTTAACAATGCGATACTTTGAACTAATAGTTAAACACCGAAGTGAACAAGGAAAGTTTGTTATACATACTAGAAGTACCCAGCCCAATGGAAATAAAATTCCCAATGAATCGATCGTCGGCCTAAAAAATTCACATAACAATATGCGTACAACAGTAACGCTGTCGTGTCGCAGCAGTTTGCTACAGTATTAGTTGAAATAATGTTATCGTGGGAAGGGAAATGTAATCTGCGGTACTTCCTGTTTATTTCGTCGTTAAACTTAATAAGAAAATAAATAATTTAACGAAAAAAAACAATTTAACGCTCAAAAGTGTTTTTATAATTTTTTTTTTGGAGAATTAATTACATGCAAAGCAAATTCAAAAATATAATAACATAATTCTTACCACATCGTATCCGACTTCGTAATGGGAACCTTGTAAATAGATGACCGGAACCACTCGGCGCCTACCGATATGTTTCTCACTCAGAGAATTACCTGTAACAACCGTTACATCATATCAGTTCTTTTTAAATCCGGTCGCGTTCCGTTTGGAAATGATCTCATCCAGAGTTGTACGACCACTTATTTTTTTATTTTCTTGTCTTTGAAAATTCACCCTATAACTACTCATCTACATCATACTATTATAATAAAGCGTAGACACACTCTTCTTTGTTGCCTAAGATCTTTTACAGCAATATTAATTTAATAGCAATTACAGCATATTTTTGAATAATTACTATTTTTAATAAAAAGCCCTACACTTACGTCACGCCTTAGGCTATATGTTTTCACGCTATTAAACTTAGTGGGTAAATAAATTGGATAAAAATACTAATGTGGGAAAGAGACCATAAGTTGCTGCTAACATCATGGAAACAAGATTGCCATGGATTGTCATCATGTCATTTGCCATTTGCAATTAATAATTTGACAAATGTAAAAGACAAAATAAAGTTTTTATAATTTCCTGCGGATGAAGCCGCATGGGAACAGCTAGTAACTAATAAAACGATTGTAGCGTTTCTTTTGTTATTCCGTAAATCTTGTTCTGTATAACAGTTCAAAGATATTAAATATACCGAAACACTATAAGTGGGGAACATTGATGAGTTTGTTTTTCAAATCACTTTTGACAGTGGCAGAGCCTCCAATAACATATTTTGCATAAATGGACCGGTTTCCCGGTGCAATACCTCGACCACACAGACGACAAGCGTGAAATTGAAGTTATTCCGCGTTTCGTCTGATGAGTAATAATCTTAGTCCTCTTACCCTTTGCACTCTTTTCCTACAAGGACAGGATAGGGAAGGGGACGTACATATTTATATTCTCTATGTTGATGGCTGCTAGCTCGTTTGCTACCTTTTACTATAAAAGACTTGTTTTAGAGAGTAACCATATCCACATTGTAAACAATAATCCCAACAGTCAACTCAAATTTTGTTATTAATGTTAACATTAAATGTAATACAAATTTGGTTACGTTGGTCCACAATTGTTTTGACGAAGGTTCACGATAATTAATTAAACGATCGAATATTACGGCATTGTTCCCGGTGAACGCGGCCACAGGTTTCTTGTCAAATTATACCTTTTGCTTCTTTTTTGTTACAGGCGAATTATCAATCTTTGTGTTTTATAAATTAAACAAGAAATTAAAGTTTTAATTACATTTGTTTAACTGCAAAAAAAACTGTTATTACAAATAATGTTATTTTAAAGATAACTAGTATCGCATCTCATTAGGATTTCGCATTGCTTCATTCATATCTTGTTTTAATCAAATATAGTGCTGTTTTTTAATAGAACATATTATTTATTTAATATTCTACACAATAATTTAAATGTGTGCATATTGTTTATAGTAGCGCTGTGGTGCAGTACAAAAGTTCATAATCGAATTAAGATGTAATTAATAACTTACCATATAGCTCCCTCATTATGTTATAAAGACCGATGTGATATCAATGTATGTAACAAGCAAATGAATCTCGCAAGAGGCGGTCGCGGAGCCGCGGCGCGGCAGAGACTGCTCGACTCTGGCACCACGCAAACTATAATATACCTACGTACTTGATGCTGATACAGCACAAAATGCCGATCAAGGGTAAGCTGATTTACTAAATTATCCGATCTAAGAAAATTTTGTGTTAAAAATTTACCGTTTTATGTAAATGAAAAATATGCCTGACCTATACGAACTTTTTTTAAAAAAAAAACTGTTTTGAAATGCTGAATGTTTTATCTCCAATCTTGGTATATTTTGTAAGCAATATCTTATTTAATAATATTTTACTACAAATTGTTAAATAAATTAAAGCGAAACCAATGAAATGACATCGAGCTCTCAAATGTTTGTTTCAATCGAGTGTAATAGAACAAAGTGAATTTCCCGCGAGATTTTTCTTACAAACACTTCTTACTAATAACTGCACAGTCGAGACGTTGGAACAACAACTAAAAGGTCACAAAATTAATTTTCTTTATTACTTGGGTCCCGTTTCTTTATTATTTGTAACTTACTATTTAAGAGTCGAAGAAAACGAAAATTTATCTAGGAATGTAGGATCTAGGAATCTAGGATTTTAGCAAGTATTTCTATAGATTACTATAGCTATACTAATTACATATTTTTGAGTGTATTTTAGTATAGTAAACAAGACAAACTAATAGGTTTTAGGGAGTTTGACGTTACATCGAGTGACGCTATAAAGAGTTTATTCTGTAATTCAATATTGTAAAATGTAATGATACCTATAGACAGAAAGGTTTCGTATCAATTGCGCTACGCCGACATGTGCAAACAAACACGAACAGAAACCAATTTATTGAAACGAAACACTTCCTAGTGAGTGATACGGTCAGTGAGAGAACTTTTATCGCGGTGATGACGTAGGTGACATTGAAAAACTCAAGCTCTGCTGTTAAGTTTACAATGAAATCTTACTATTACATAAATAACAAAACTTCATATTATTATGTAACGTTTTTAGAATATTAAGCTTTTGCTTAAGTGTATTTTTGACTTTCATCTTCGCCATCCACATGAAATATGTTTGGATGTTGAATTTTGGTCTTTAGGGTATAGGAGAGCTTGGATATAACTTGATATTTTCAGATGCAACTATTGTCGGCTGTGATTGGTTGATACAATCACCCGTTTTCCAAAATTCTGTAGTACCATTTACTTGAAATGTAATACGAAATTTTTACAAGACATTTTTGGGGAAAAAAATCTTTGGATTTGAGTTGTAACAAATTTTAATCAACAAAGCGCTCAACAGTGAAAAAGTTTAATTCAGTTTTATAGATTGGAATAACTTAAATTAAAACAATCCAATATATTTAATAAGGAGTTTAAGGAATTTTAATAGGTTTGGAATTACGAATATCGTACTATGTGTAACACAAATGAATAACATTGTTAGCGTGTAAAAAATTCTTATGTTTGCAATTGTTCATTATATTAATGACAAAGCACCTGCCTGTGACAGTCTGTCCTGAAGGTCACGCCGGCAAATAAATCTTAATTTGAAGGTCAGATATTATAGTGTTGTCAATTTTATTAATTCCAAGCCAGATTGCCGGTCAACGTATTAATTGCAAGTTCACTTAAGTTAAAAAGCTTTTAACGTATAATTTTATTTGACTAATAAAATAAGATAGCAATAAATTCTAAAACATAAAAAATAATTAGAGAATAGATTTAAATACCAGTATCTAAGAATATATACGTAAACATATCCCATTTCTTGTTACTTGCATTGCGCAGAAAAAGATTTACTTGAAGATTATCCCAACGTCATATAACTCGTACAGTAGAAACTTTTGAGGTTTTTTCGTTCTTTGTATTAGTACAGTCGTAATGAAACCTACATTGTGTGTCAGTGGCAACATAAATACTCGTAGCAACTGCCAAGAGTCAGGCGGTGAGTTACTAAGTGCTACTTTGTGGCCATCATGTGATCATACAATTTATTTTTATTCCACTAAGTATTTGATTAGTAGTTAGTTCCTCCTCTACATAAATTTCTCACGATTGCTTACATCTATAAATAATTTCCTCCGGCTTTCATTTATGCTCTTCGCATTGTTTAGTTATCAAAGCTGGGAGGAGAGCCGCTGATAAAAACGCTAATGGGCTTTCATCGTAAGTGGTTTAACTGTGCCGTATTAAATATTTCAATGACAAACCTACTCACATACAACTAAAATAACATAAATAAATTTAGTAACATGAACGTAATTATTTAAATTGAATATTTTGACTTTTTCAAAATCCTTGCATTTTGAACATGGTCATTTATTTCAAGGCAATGTTATCTTTAAGAATTATGGGCATAGTTTGGCCCTGGTTTTGAATTGGATTTTTTTAAACGAAGCTGTTTAGATACATTTTGAAAATGAAATAGACGCACGTGATGTAACGGTTTTGTTTTTAAGTATGATTTGTGGTTTAAATCAAAGCGACAGATCAAAGTAATTTTATTTCCTTGCATTAAACCTACTAATTAATTGACAAAGTATTTAATTACATCATAATTTATCTTAAATTTCACAAATTCGGTAACGACTAGTTCAATTAAAATTGTTAATTAACATTTCTAATTAAAGTAATAAGTGCGAAAGTAAAAATAAGTTTTACTTAATACTTCTTAAACGTTTATGACTTTTTACTTAAATTGCACAGAACAGTCTAAATATAGGCAATGTTTTTGTAAATAAAATTTAAGCTACATTTATGTCTTCTACAAAGTGATCTAAAATTACTTTCAATTTAATTAAATCTTTATTTTTGTTTCACTAAGGTCAATACTTTCGCAATCGTATTAATAAGGACAAGACAAATATTAATTGTAAGTATTGAAACACAGTCAAATGTGCAATTGTTAATAAACGATACAGTTGCTTTCAAAATACAAACATTAATAGCAAAGTAACGAACAATTGACATTGATCTGATTAGAATGACTATTCATTATTCCATCTTATAACTATTTTAATCGGAATTATAAAGTGTTCAAATATTTACAAGACGATCAGTTACGCGTAACGCTCGCCACTTGGACCACATCGTACAAAGTATTCTTCGTTCGTTCATCGGTGGCCTTGTCCATGGCCTCACGCACGTGTTCGCTCATTTAACCTGTTTCGCCGACGTCATACGGTTTTTGTTTTTATGAATAGTCAAATTTTTGAATAATGATAAACATCTTGTTACCTAGTGGGAAAAGTACTCGGCTGTTTCGAGCAGGGTTAGACTTTCAATCTCGGTAAATTATTTGCCTGTTGCTTTCCAAAAGTTGTTAAACGTCTTATTTCTGTGCAAATTACAGGGTCTGACAAAAATCATTTTTGTGACATTTAAACTGAAGCTAATAAGTTAATAAGAGAATTCTTCTCTGGTTTGGTCCTAGTTGAAGAATTTATTGTTCAACAAGAAATAAAGTGCCGCCTTATGTTGAGATTTTCCATTCCTATTTACTTATTG